AGGAGAAAAGGAAAAAGCAAACACATTTTGGGAAAGAGTTCCAGTGGTTGATAGCTTGCCCGCTTTTGATTTCATCGGAGACATGAGGAATGAGGAATGGATCACAGTGGGAGGAGTGAAAGATATGGAGCAGTGAGAAGGGCTAGAGTACATTACTGAGCTAGGGTGGGGCAAGATGATGAAGGATTTGAAGTTCAAACCAAGGATCTTGAAGTTGATCCACTGGAAACTTGGAAGCAGTTAAACTTGACAAGGATGGTTTGAATTGCACTTAAATTAGAGCACTAATATTTAATTATAGTTAAATTTAATAAAGTTCATTATAGTTCAGACGACAAAAGTTTCACTATGGGTTTGACACATACAGGGAGGGGAAGAGGGAAGGTGCTAAAATAATTTACTGAAAGCATCTTCGGGGCTTGATGTCTCTTTTTTATGTCCGGAGGTTGAAGAGTGGTTTGCTTTCAATTCAGACCCTATTACAATCACAAGCTTCAAACCAAAAGAAAGTGGATTGACTGGTATTGAAAGCACCGTGAAGCAGCACGGATTCTAAGTGAACGCCAGAGGGGATATTTGATTTATTTATGGTCTTAATTCTATATTTTTATTAGTTCACAACAAAAAAATTTCACTCTTTTATTTTAATGCAAGTAATGGCCAAATAAGGCTTTTCATCAGAGAAACAAATAAGACAAAAGAGGAACTGATTTAATGTTTTCATTTGAGTTACAACTCAACACATTTTTTCTCTCTCTCTAAATTTGTGGGCAAGCACTTAAGTTTTATTACGTTTTCAGTTATCGAGTGCAAAATATTTTTCCAAGTTAAGATGAGAACATCGTTTTTAAATGACTGTTCAGGACACCATTTATGCTGCTCTATTTGCTTTAGATTTTGGAAAATGGGAGATAATTGGTGAAATGGAGTTACTTTGTACTGGACGAAAATGCAGCTGTGACAGAAGACCTGGCAATGAGAAAAATAACATGTCATGAGAGGTGTCATGTTTTCAAAGAACTGTAAGGAGCTGTCAGTCGTACTAAAATGTCACAGCTATAGATTTTTCATTAAGAGTTTATTGTGATAATTTTTCTATATGACAAGGACTGAAGCATTTGACGACATTCAGCCCAATATTAAGATGTGGTGGTGTGTTTGGCTGCTGCTACATTCCAATAATATAGCTACATACATTTTATGAGTGTTTCTCTTAAGAAAGTTAATATAACAATAAATCAATTTTCTAGCACTATTTACACTGCGTATTTGAATTTTGGGGGAAAGAATGCATTAGGACTGTAAAAAAAAGGGTGCGGTTGTGCTGTTAACTGTAAATTCTATTTTAATTTAGTGAGTCTTAGCCAGGGATTTCTGAATCGGAGGATTGTTGTACAGCTGTGTTTCTTGTGGCTTTGGTTTAAAAACTTGATAGAAAGATAAGTGATCTATCATCAATGTGTGTTCGAGTAGATACAGCAGAGGATCTGGCACGAGAACAGGCAGAATGGACTGAGTAGTCCTTCTGTGTTACAAATGTACTATGATTCAATAGACAGCATGAAAATACTTATTTCTCACAAAGATTGTCTTGTGAGAAGTCATTGGTTGAGCTGGTTGAGTGATACGGTACGTTTAAATAACCTGCAATTCAGTTTCATTGAAGTTATTTTTTATCCATAAAATAAAACCCTGGGAATTTTGCAGGGTGTTTCAGGATCTATTTATTTTTGTCTCAGCACGAATTTTTCACAGCTGAAGATTGAAATCTCACCTTGTCTTAGCCTATTGAGACCTTTGTCTTAAAATTTAAAATCACGCAAAGTGTGAGTATTTTTTATGTTCAACCTTAATTTGGAAACCTTCTTTTATATAACAGCAAAGGGACAAACAGCTTCTAAATCAAGACTGAGTTCAAGAATATTCCACATTTTGCACTGTTCCTAACTTTGAATACAATACGGTCTTGCAGATAAGACTATGGGGATTTGAGGCCTTGAAATTCCAAAGAGCTCCTTCACTGTAAGATTGCTAGCCACATGTGTGCGTGATTCAGGCACCAAACACCATACATAGCCACCACGAGCCTGTCCTGGAGCATGTTATTTATATACAGCATCACACTGATGTCAACTCAGCACTATCACAGGATTCAAAGGTCATCTGTAAGTGTGTGACTTGTCAAACAAAAGTACTGTGATGCACACACATCCATCCAGCAAGCCAAAAGAAGCAAAGAGAAAGTTGGAGAAAATCTGATATTTTTTCAGAGAAAATTCTTCTTACCGATCAACTTTTATCAAAAGAATTTTTTTTATACAGTAAAAATTGTCTTTAAATGCACCCACCTAGAGGTTATGTGATTCATAAACAGGGTTGAAATCACATGCACTGCCCAGCAAACATTACCTTAGATCAGTCATGTAGTATGGGGATTTTAATGAACATTAAGATGGTGGGTGGGGTTGGGGGGAAGGGGTAATTTTACATGCAAAATTCTTGTGGGTTGTTTGCATGCGATTTTATGACTGTGTTGTCCAACCCATGGAAATGGCCTCACAGTTCCACCTATCCTGGGATGATTTTCTAAAAGTAGAAAGGGTAAATCCTTATCTATCTTGTACATCAAACTCTAGCATGGTGGTGGCCAATCTGTAGCCTATGGGCTGGATTGGCTCATGGGGCTGTCAAGAAGTGGTCCCCTGAGCAGTCACGATAGGTAATGTCCATGTTTGATCAATGCACTTCCAGGTTTATCTTGATTGAAGTTTCTTCATTTATAGCATAAATCAAAAAATATTCAATCAAGAAAATGTATTTCTGTTGGCTAACCAAAAAGGTTGGCCACCACCGTGCGAGCCGTATTAACTTCCCTGGTTTCTTACTCTACTCACAGAGACTGTGTGGAATTACATACTTCTGTTTGATCCTCAACTCTCCTTGGGCCCTGACCAAGTCTACATTCCTCCACTCACCCCTGTCACAACCTCACCCGTGATGCAACTGAAAACCTCATCCACATCTTTTTCACCTCCAGACATTGACCCGCTTTTTATATTCACTCGACACACAATTGAGTACATTTTCTGTAGCTGCATATTTGGCAGCGTAGTTTTTTCAGCAATTTTATTATGGATGTTTTATTGTTATGTGAAATTAATTTATCCTAATGTATCTGCCCCACCAATAGTGAGCAAGCTTTAAGCGACTTTGCCCACACCCCTGCATGTCTCTTCCAAAATTCCTCTACCTCACCCCCTCTCTCTGCTTTAATTCCCCATCCCGCTCCCTCCCAGCTCAGGCTCCCATTCTGACTTCTTAAGCACTTTGAGATATTCTCCCTAAGTGAAAGATGCTGTCTAAGTGCAAATTGCTGTATTATTTATATTCACTCGACACAAAATTGAGTACATTTGCTGTAGCTGCATATTTGGCAGCGTAGTTTTTTCAGCAATTTTATTATGGATGTTTTATTGTTATGTGAAATTAATTTATCCTAGTCATACATTTATAATAAACATATCTAGAACAAACATGTTACTGAGATGGCTAAGACACTCTTTGTATATTTGCTTAACTCTTTCACCAAAACAAATTCATATTTTAGGTTTTAACAAACTGCATTTCCAGCCTGCATAATCAGCAATGTAGTTCCACATCTGGATAAGATTCTGTAGATGAATGTGGATAAACAAAATGGAACTCAATGAGTATTGAAACAAATATAGTTCTCTTAATAATTAAAATTCAACATTCCAGGATCATTTAACCATTTCATCATTTCAGTGCTCCAAATGTTTTGTCAATCTGTGAACATCATCAGCAGTAACCATGGATCAAAGGTTAATAATACGTCAATTCATGTGGACTTTGGCACAGTCGCAATGGGCTAACTCCTCCTGTGCTTTAAAATCTTATGATTCATATTAATGCATTATTGTACTATAATTCGCAGGTAGTGCTATGGTATTCACACCATCTTTTTGAAGAAAGAGAGAAGGAAACACAAATAGCTAGAAAGGCTGTTAGCTGCTTGTAAACTAACACAGTGGGTTGGTGGTGCAGTGGGAGTGTGTACTGCAGCACCAAGCAATAGTGCTGTGATGTGATGGGGCTCAAGTTCATCTTCCATAATTCCACACACTCCAGGGATCCCAGTCTCAGTAGCTTTGTCGCAGAGAAGCACCAAGTAGAAGTTGGCCAATTCTCCACATGATAGAAAGAAAAATCAGAGATATATCCGCTCGCTCACTCTTCTACATTTCCTGGTGGAAAATTTTAGAGTGCTATTGATGGAAGCCCGTGGTGCGAGGCAGGAGAAACTCAACTGAGGAAATGGGAGAAAATAATATAAAAAATAGAGATTTTTAGTGGATCCACACAAAGATAACTTGTCCTAAATGCACAGTAGTCATCAGAAGTAATGATTGCTTTCATTAGTAGGTTATACAGCAGTAATGATTTTCCAATTAGAAACAAATAATAAAAAAGGTCACAAATGTTGAAGATTGCAGTATTATGGAGTCCTGTGGGTCATGTCTATCTAATATTGCACCAAATATTTTGTTTTGTGTGCATTAAAGTAACTGATTTTCTGTCTGCCTTGAGTTGCAGCACCTAAGATTACAAAAATGAATAGCAAGGCGACATTGTCCAACCAGTCCATACCAGTGTTTATACTCCACGCATGCTTTCACCCATTCCTTACTCCCTCCCATTCTCCCTCATGTGAAGATCTGGGTTCCTCTTGAATGCATCTATACTATTTGGTTCAATCATCGCTTCAGGCAGCGAATTCCCTAATCTCACTATCCTCTGCGTGAAATAGTTGCTCCTGAATTCTCACCTCTAATATAATTGCTCTCATTGCTGGACAAAAAAAACAACACAAATTGATAAAGGAACATGAATTGAACAAAGCTGCTTCATTTTATGTTATGTACAGTGAAATCTCACTTGGTTTATTAAAGTCTACAATAAACTCTATACTTTCATTACAGATACTATCATTACCTGTACAACTATTACTTGCCAGCAAGTCTTCACAGCATGGTAGACCAGATGGCTAACTGTGAAGATATTCTAATGAACTTCCTGGTTTCAGCCATCACCAAACTCCCACCAATTAAAGTCACGCAGAAAAAGCAGTACAAAGAAACTATGATGCAACAGGTAGGTGCTAAATTTTATTCAAATCTGTCAATCAATTTTCATTTTAATAAAAGATCGGAATTAAAGGATTGCACTCGCCAATTGACAAGTGAAAATTCTCAATATATAATTGAGTATAATTTTCATTGATAATACTTTCAGTTATACTAAGGACAAGACAACATGATTTCAAGAGGGTCAAGTTTTAGGGAGGACACAAAAAGTATTTCTTTACACAAAGGTAAATAACAGATAGAACGGGTTAACAGGATGAATATTCAAATCTAAGAAAGAGCTTGATGCTGTTATTCAAACACGGTAGGATCGGTATTCTGGAAAGATGAGATCAAATCGGTCGATGGTTCTTTAGCTATATTTTTCTTGTGAATGAGTAGTGCTAAGAAAACAGACAAGTTTATTCTAACTTGAATGGAGCTATTAAACTCAGTGTCAGACTTGCCTCGCTGATTTCCATCATTACTATTGTCTGAAAGGCTCTGTGTCTTGCAGCAAGTTAATCTGACAGTAGATTTGGAAAAGATACTTATTTGATCAATTGGATTTTATTTGTATAATTCAGTAAATGAAATGAAGTATCCAACTTTAATAGGGCCTGTTGGCTGTAAAAAGATGATCTCTGCTTCTAGTCTAAGGTATTACAGAATTCTGAGAAGCCTATCCAATCATCCAAATGTAGCTGTGGAATAAGACCATAGTATTTAAGGAATAATGTTCAGGAAATGTGAGCTTGAAGCACTGCAAACTACCAAAGCAGATGCATGGTGATACTGGACAAGTCAAGGTTTATTAGTATAAACAGTTAAAGTCATTTTTATATGGTGATGTGCTGATATAGCTCTCAGCAATTTGAAAAATACCAATGGAAAAGGAAGAAGCTGAACGTGTAATTGTTTTCTTTATATGTCATGCTGATAGCTAATGTACAGAAAAATCCCAGGATGAATCAAAACATACCTTAAGACTTTGACTGTTAATTAACACATAGTTGAAAACGTTTTTTTTACATGTGTTACATGTGTTTCAATTGATATGTGTTAATTAATGTATCACTGGTTGCAATTTTTGCTCTCTTCCTAGAATTATACAGCACAGAAGGGGGCCATTTGGCCCGTCGGGTCTGTGCTGGCTCTTTGAAAAGAGCTGGCACAGACACGATCATCTTAATAAGATCTCTGGTAATGACTGACCCATATTCTCAAATGCTCTTTCTTCTATCCTTTGTACAACCATTGCATGTGTCTGAACCTACATAGCAGATTTCTCCATTTCTCCATCTGTAACAGATGTTTCTCGATCAAAAAACTCTTAGTTGTGTTTTGTCCATGCTTTTTAACCACAATTCCTGGTGCCTCACTGAGCAAGAGAACGTTCTGGAGATTTTGGCTGTTGCAGAAAATAGCAAATCGTTCCGAGACTTTTCTTAACCAATCTTGATCATTTGCTCCCGCATTCATTATTTTACATGAATTCGCATTAGACCCCCTTCAGTTTAAAATAAACCCTATTTACCTATCAGCTTCCAAAAATCCAAGCCTTTCTGTTCTGAAAGTGTTTGTCATAGGCTCTCCTCAATCCCTCTCCCTGCCACCTAATCTACCTACATCTCCTGCCCTGGAAAAAATCCCCTCTCCACCTCTGCTGGCCTGGAGTCATCTGAACTCCTGCCCCTCTGGGCTTCCTCCCGCAATGACCTATCCTTCTCGGTCACTCTCCTCCACAACTCCCTCTCCGCCTCTCTTAGTGCCCTTACCCCCCTCATTTCCCAAACCATCTCCTACTCATGGAAATCACCCTGGTACACCAGCCACCTGTGCTCCCTGAAGGCTCAGGTACACTCCGTCAAATGCAACTGGCTCAAATCTAAATAAATGGTCCTTCGGCAGATCTGGCTAACCATATTAAAACTTACCACTCTGCCTCGCCTCTGATAAATCGTCTGTCTACTCCAAGATTATCTTGGAGGCAAAGGACAACCCCAGGCTCCTCTTCTCCACCACCAAATGGGTCTTCCACCCACCCTCTCATGCCTCACCCATCCTCTCCTCCAATGCCAATGCCGAAGCGCTCTGAGACGCCATCTGGCGTGGAGGGCGCTATATAAGTCCAAGTTGTTGTTGTTGCGAGGCGATGCTGGAATTCCTCGAGACCAAAATTGAGGGAATCCGCTCACCCGCCTCTGCCCTTCCAACTGCTAACTCCTCCCCATCTCCCCCTCACACTCCCGCCCCGACCCATCCTTCCCTCCACACCTTTGAATTTGTCTACCCCTCCTCTCTCAAAACCGTTAGGACCCATTTGAAACCCACCACCTGTTCCATCGATCCCGTCCCTATCCCTCTCCTTACCTCCCAGCTTGATCTCTTTGCTCCTCGACTTACCAATATCATCAGCCTCTTATTGTCGACTGGCACTATTCCCCTCCCCTTTAAAACAGCCGTCATCACTCCTATCTTCAAAAAACCTACCACGGGCTCATCCTTGCTGTCCAACTATCGCCTCATCTCCAACCTCCTTTCCTTTCCAAGGTCCTGGAACGAGTCATTGCTTCCCAACTTCGCTGCTTCCTCTCCCGTCACTCCCGCTACGAACTCCACCAATCGGGTTTCCGTGCAGCTCACAGCATGGAAACAGCCCTGGTCAAAGTGACAAATAACATTTTGTTGATCTGTGACCAGGACTTCCTCTACTCCTAGTCCTCCTTGACCTCCTGCATCCTCTTACACTGTTGATGACTCTATCCTCCTCCACTGCCTCTCTCCCCTGAACCTTCATGGTTCTGTCCTTGACGGGTTCAGACTCTACCTTACACAAACGGCTTCTCCTCTCGCCCCCAAACCAAACCATCTTGTGTGGCATTCCTCAGGGCTCTGTCCTTGCTCCCCTCCTCTTCAATATCTATATGCTCCCTCTTGGTGACATCATCTGCAGACATGGAGTCAACTTCTACATGTATGCGGATGACACTCAACTCTATCTCTCAGCCTCCACCCTCAACGCCAGGACCACTGCTGCCCTGTCAGAATGTCTGTCAGACATCAAGTCCTGGATGAAAGCTAATTTTCCACAGTTGAACGTCAACAAGACCGAGACTCTCCCGATTGACTCCTGTCAGCGCCTCCTCACCTTAGGCATTGACAGCATCACCATCCAGGGAATGCACACTCCACCTCACTGAGCCAGTCCGGAACCTTGGCGTCTTTTTTGACCCTCAACTCTCCTTTCTACCCCACATCCGTACCATGTCCCGCTCAACCTTACCCCACCTCCGCAACATCTCCCAGCTCTGCCACTGCCTTTTCCCTCAGGCCGCTGAAACCCTCATCCATGCATTTATTACATCTAGGCTCAACTATGCCAATTCCATGCTTGTCAGCCTTCCCAACTCTTACCTCCACAAGCTGCAGATCATCCACTGGCTCCCCATCCCCCAGAGTTCAAAATCCTCATCCTCGCTTTCAAGGCACTCCACGGCATTGCTCCTTCCTAACTCTACCATCAGCGGTTGGGCCTTCAGCCTATCTGCTCCCACCCTTTGGAACTCCATCCCACAGTCCTTTGCCTCATTCCCTCCCTTGACTCCTTCAAAGCCTGTCTCAAGACCCTCCTCTTCGACTGTGACTTTGTCCACCCTCCAGCACTAAATTCCCTGTCCTCCAGTCCCCTGATCCCACCCCCTGCTCAGGTCCAAATCCCTGACCGTCCAGAACCTTGGAATGTCCTCCCAACGTGCAAGATGCTATACAAATGTGATTTATTGTTGTTGTTCATTACATCTAAATGAAAATAGATTAATAGGTACAAGATCATTGTTGTTAGTAAGATAAACAGAACTATTATAACTTTAAACATATTCCATTCTTTGCTTATCTTGATTATATTTGAAAAAACATTATTACTTGAAATCGTATCAGCCATCTTTAATTCAATGTTTTTTCTTGGTTTCTCTAAGATTCTTATACCTGCTTCTACTTGTGTTTATGCTTCACTCAGATCGTCCTCCCTATAGGATTCCTTGAATGTATTAAAAGCTCTGTTTATCCCTACTTCATTGCAATGGCTCATGTTGTTTGTTGATGCATTTTTTATTTGGTTGGAATGAATTTTGATTGTATTCTCACCATCAGCTCTTTGAATATTTCCCTTTGTTAAGATTGAATTTTCCAATTATAATCGTATTCTAAGGGACACTGGGCAAATTTGTACTGTGAAAGCAGAAACCCAGAATAACCCTTTCATATATGTCAAAGCAACAGTAGAAGAAAGAATAGGTTCAGTATTGTGAAGAATAATGTTAAGGTACAAACTTGCAAGTAATAATAATAATAATAATCCTTGCATTTGATATAGCGCTTTTCACGTCGGGAGGATGTCCCAAAGCGCTTCACAGAACACACTGTAAAGTGAATTGACTGTATATTTGTGGGCGAACGCGGCAGCCAATTGCGCACAGCAATGTCCCACAAACAGTCGTAGATTGAAAATTACCAATTTATTATTGTTTTTTTTTTGGAGGGATTATTATTAGGCGTGTGGAGTAAGGAAACTTACTTACAGGACTCCAAGTATTTATTTGCCCAGAGGGTAATCAATAACATGCTCGTGGAGTCCTGTGGCTCAGTGGTTAGAGCACTCGCTTTGCAAGTGAGAGACCTGAGTTCAATTCCAGGCAGGGCGAAACCTTGGGCAAGTTTCCTTACTCCACACGCCTAATAATAATCCCTCCAAAAAAACAAAACAATAATAAATTGGTCATTTTCAATCCATATGACTGTTTGTGGGACATTGCTGTGCACAATTGGCTGCCACGTTCGCCCACAAATATACAGTCAATTCACTTTACAGTGTGTTCTGTGAAGCGCTTTGGGACGTCCTCCCGACATGAAAAGCGCTATATCAAATGCAAGGATTATTATTATTATTAATAACATGCTACCAGGAAAGGTGGAACAGACAAGTGCTCTATTCTCAGTTAAGAGGCAGTTTGATGCTATGATGGGAAG